GATGGAAAAAATATATTGAAGTTCATTTATTTATGCCTATCATTTCGGTGTACATCCGATTTGTTCAAAATGTTAGCCTTGTTTCAGTAAGATTTCAATTATCCCCTTTAAATGTCAATTATGTGAATTCAATCGATCGATAATTTAATGAAATAAAATGAAGTTCACGTATTTATTTCGATGAGAAATGATGCAGTATAGGGAGAGATAAACATTCATAACTAAGTGAATATTATATTTATGTATTTAGTCGGTCAGTCAGTCAGTTTTAGTCTGTAAGCAATAGAGTAGAACTTTGTACGTATGTAAGCACTATATTATCACCACAGAGATGAAAATGGTCAGTTCAAATCCCATAGTGGTAGATATAGTAGAAGAATTAGTGGTAACCTTACGAAGAGAAAGATAGAGGTGATGAGGAATTCTTAAGATGAGAATTTCGGAGAGCACAAAGAGTGGATTCAGCTGTGTCATTGAGAAAAGATTTCTTAAGCCATGTCATTCGAAGTCTCAAACCATCGGTCACCATTGTCTCGCGGACCCCAACCAGATAGTCTATAGCTACTAAGAAATCTCAGTCCAGTTGTCAGTGACTTCATGGAATTCTGCAGCATTTTGGTTTGGTCGCCCCTAGCTGTCTTCCAACCTACTCCAACACTATAAAAGATAGCTTGTCAGGGCAGTCGATGGTTGGGCATAATGTTGCACATGTCCCAGCCACTTCAACTGATAAAGTTTCAATAATTCCTATACTGATCTGTCAACTTTACCTAGTACACGTTTCCAAACAATAGCATTGCTTACCTGCTTGTCCAACAATATACGAGCAATGCTTCTGGGACATCGATTGTGGTGTGAGCTACTTATAAGTAGTATATGACGTGAGTGAAAACGTAATGTCTGGCAGCAGAACATGGGGGAAGATCAAGAAAGGAAGAGTCGGGAACACAATGGAATTTGTATGAAACGCATGAATATTGACAATGGATTGATGTGTTGCAACAGGAACAGTCCAGTTCGAGATGATGAACTGATATTTTGCAAATTAACGACTTACGATATGGTTTTCTAATTTTACTGAGTAACTCTGTAATTTCCGTTAAATGCAATTTGGTTGTCCTCACCTGTGTTCTCGTTCACTACACGATGAACGAAAACCAGTAACCTACGAATATCCTCAACTCTTACCATCCATGTTTCACAACTATAAAATAGGATAGAGCGAACTAGTGCGCAGTAAACCCACCTACACCATAAACGACGCAAGTTGGCAAACGCTAGTCGAGCCTTCCGTATCCTTGCTGAGATTTCCTCACACACCAGGCCATGTGACTCCCAAGATAAATGAAGCGGGAAACACGCTAAACCACTTCACTCGCTGCTACTCACAGGATTCAAACCAACGTTCTTAGGTCTTCTGAGCTAACGCCCAACCTATTTATCAATGAGCCGACATTCAACAGTGTTTAGGTCTAACTCTGATCAATGTAGGAATTTCGAGCTACCTCACCTATTTGTCTTCGGTAGTTACTGCCTACAACCAACTAAACTGGTCACGTCTTCTCGCTAGAATTCCGAGAATTTCCTCACGAAACTAGTCACTAGTGAGCACACTGCCGATGAGTAATCCCATAACAGAGGATGAAACGGCCGTCCAGTGCATCCAAGTTTCTTCTGGTAGTTTAACAATGATTGGTTGGTGATTTCAATGTGTAAAAACACTAATCTCCATAACTCCTAAAATAATCGATCTAAATCTTTGTCTGACCTTTGTTAACGTTTGAACTAATAAAATTTCTACTTCAAAATGACTCAATGCATGATGACAAACATACACTTTCACAATCCAAATCCCCTTGATATGTATAACTATTCGCTCCATTTTTATTTCACATTTAATAAGTAGTTATTATCTCTTCCATGAAAATTGCATTCGATTCGGTTACTAATCAAATGAGTTATATTCGTCCCCGACTGACCTATATTATAGGTTATAGGCTATCTTGTCTTGTTTCAGTAAAATTCGATTATATGACCTCAAAGAAATGGTCAATAGGAATAGCTTCATGTATTAAGGATAATTATCGATTACTTTTAAGAGTAAACAATGATTGTTTTATTCAATGATCAATGATTTATAATTGATCAATGTTCATCATTGTTCAAATTGATCAGTTGTGATAATAAGTTCAATAGTCATTTCATGCGTTCTGTAAGACCTCATTAGTGACTAGCTTCGTGAAGAAATTCTCGGAGTTCTAGTTGTGAAGACGTGACCAATGGAGTTCAACCCTGTCGGGTGTAGGCAGTAACTACCAAAGACAAATGGGTGAGGTCGAGCAAAATCCCTAGATCAATCAGAGTTAGACATTAACACCGTTAGATACCGGCTCAGTGGTCCAATGGTAAGGCGTTCGCCTACAATGCCAAAGGTCCCGGGTTCAAATCCTGCGAGGAACAGGAGTCGTGGATGCGCACTGCTGATGATTCCCATACCAGGACGAAACGACCGTCCTCCAGTGCTTCCAGGTTTCTAATGGTGGTCTAACAATGATTGATTGATGATTTCAAATGTGTAAAAACGCAAATCTCCAAAACTCTGCCCCTAAACAATGATTGTTTTATTTAATGATCAATGATTTATAATTGATCAATGTTCAATGTTGTTCAAACTGATCAGTTGTGATAATAAGTTCAGAAATGGGTTCGGTAAGACCTTTAATTGTCTATCAATCATTGGATTAATCAATAATAAATCATTGTAATTTATTAAAACTAGTATTTTTTCAACAAAAAATCTTACTATGATCATTTAAATTACACAAACACACAGAGAGAGAGAGTGTGTGTGTGTGTGTGTGTGAAATCGACACATGATAACAATTCTGAAATGAATCATTTATACAAGAGAAAAAAAAAACAAGAATCTGAATAAGAAAAAGAAACAAGACAGACTCAATTGGAAATGAACTCCAGAAGTATATGTGTGATCAATATGTGTGTGAACTAGTGAAGGAAAAAAGGTTGAATTTGTTCCCCCTCAGTTAAATATAGAATGAAAGTCACACACAGAGACAGAGAGAGATACATGTTGGGCTCGAACAAAATCAATAGGATTTCATTTAAAAATTAATCAATAATTTATTTTTTTTTCAAGTTAATCAGTAGTATGCACAATTTAAGTTTTTTAACAAAAATATAAATATTTATGAATATATATGTATATATATTTGTTTATATACAAAGCATAAATGAAAAAGAAAGATCTTTTTTCTCATTTGAATGTTCTATTGTCTGTGAATGACTGAAGAAGAAAACTAGTTTCATTGTTAATTCATGTTGTTAAACTACTATGTACACACAGAAACACAGCCACAAAACAACGAATCAGGACTATCCAATCTACAGCGCGACATTACGCGCCATTATTATTATATTCTCAGCAATTGAAAAATTGAACATAATCGATGATGAGTTAGTTCACTGCGGATTATTTATCACTGGTTTTGCCGGATTGATTGATTTGATTAGTTTTATGATAAGTGAGTAGTTTAGTTTTGTTTAAATAATTAGAAGAAGAAGGAGACGTCGACGTCGATGAAGGAGTGATAATAGTTTGAGGATAGTGTACTGTATGAGATTGATTATTGAATGGGGGTCCATGTATGATTGGTTGCCTATTTGTGTAGTAAGTATATAAACAGAATAAATTTAGGAAAAGACATGGATTAATATAATCATGATAAATATGAATAATAGAGTTGTTTAATTAGTTTTTTTTTCGAAAAAATTCCAGTTTCAATGCTGGCAGATTTCAGGGTATCAAATGTAAATTTTTTTTTGAAAAGTACATCTATGGTCTTTTGTTTAAATACGAAAGTGATTTTTAATATTGATTTTTTTTCTCTCAGAAATACGACTAAAATGAAATACCTTTTTGAAACCATGAATCGATCAATGTTAGACCACCAGCAGCAGAAACCTGGATGCACTAGACGGCCGTTTCGTCCTGGTATGGGACTCACCAACAGTGCGCATCCACGACCCCTGCACCCCGCAGGATTTGAGTCCAGGACCTTCGGTATTATGCGCGAACGCCTAACCATCGGACCACTGAGCCGGTATCTAACGGTGTTAATGTCTAACTTGACCAAATTCACGGAGTTGCGCAACCCCATACACAGTCTTCGGTAGTTACTGTCTACACCCAAACAGGTTGAACTTCACTGGTCACGTCTTCCTGTTCGGGTGTAGACATAAACTACCGAAGACTGTGTATAAGGTTGCGCAACTCCGTGAATTGCGCAAGTTAGACTTTAACACCGTTAGATACCGGTTCAGTGATCCGATGGATAGGCGTTCACCTACAATACCGAAGGTCCTGGTTTCGAATCTTGCGGGGTGCAGGGGTCGTGGATGCGCACTGCCATTGATAAGTCCCATAACAGGACGAAACGGCCGTCTTTCAGTGCTTCCAAGTTTCTAATGATGGTCTAACATTGATCGATTCATGGTTACAAAAATGTACAACTTAACAATCTTCACAATCTCGTAATGTAAAATGGAATATTCTCAAATTCTATGGTTAGTTACTTCAGTCATTCAGTCAGTTCGTCAGATACAGCGTAGAACTTCATGAGTCCATATAACAGTGCAAGCTGCCATACCATATTTGCGCATAGACGCAACTGTCAGTTTAAATGTCATAGTTGAAAAGATATAGTAGAAGTATTAGCAGTAATCGTAGAGATTAGGATTTGATGATAAAATTCGAGAAGTATAATTCAGTGAGATAATTTTAGAAAGAGAAAGATAAAGGTTGATAAGGAATTCTGGAAGATTACAGTTTGAGAAAACAGAAAGAATGGATGCATCTGCACCATTGAAAATGATTTGGAGCCTTGACATTCAAAGTCTCTAATCATTGATTACTATTGTCTTACGAATTCCAACCAGGTAGTCTACACTTGTCAATTTGTCAATCGCTCCATGGTTTTGTGCCATGCTTTTTTATTTGGCCGCTCTTAGCTTTCTTCCAGCCCTACCATTACACCAGGCATCATTACTCACTGAGGTAGTTAATGATTGATCATTCGTAATACACGTGTCAACTACCTCAAATGATGAACACCCGCTGAATTGCCATCCTTACCTAACACACGTTTCCTAACAACAGAATTTCTTACTCAATGATCTTAGGATATATAAGAGTAATATGCTTCGAAGACACACCAATGATCAGTCAGTGTAAGGAAACAATGGTCTACAAGTCTGTTATCTCACTTCTCCAAACTAATGATAATATATGAAATGTTGTTAGGATATTCACCAAATATCCTAAGAATACTATTTTTAGAAGTACAATCCTATTGGTCGATTTCTATTGGCCGAAATTATGATCATTTTTACCGTCAGGGTCAAATACTTCAATGTTACCTCTTATTGGTCATCTGGACTGTCAATGTCATTTCAAATGTTCTTTTCTATTGGTCGTCCTAAATTATCAATGTCACAGACGTTGATGCTTTTTCTTATTCGACCTTAGTGTATAAATACGCGCTATCTGAAAGACTGAATAATTCCGTTTCCCCTGTCTACCTCTTCTTCTATATTCGACCCAATAAACAACTTCCTTCCACAGTGTTAAGTTCTGATTTCTAGGAGATTTGGAAAAAGCTTTTTTTGGGGATTGTATTGTGATATTTGAATTGGATGCCGTTAGGACTGAAGAGTTTTACGTAGCAGCGTTACAACAAATGTACAATTGTATTACAATAAAAAAAAAACACTCTTCGACTGATTCAGTACATTGCAAACGACTTTGAGCCATGTCGTTCAAGGTCTCTAACCATGGCTCAACGACATGGCTCAAAGTCGTTTGCAATGGCGCAGGTGCATCCACTCTTTGAGCTCTCTCAAATCCTAATCTTCTGGATTAGCCAGCACCTCTACCTTTGTCTTTCTAACCTTATCTCACTGAATTATATTTTTTGAATAATATCTTAAACCCTAGTCTTCTTTATTATAACATTAATACCTCTACCATCTTTATCACTATGGGATTTGATTTGACATTTGCGTCTCTGTGCCAATAATGTGGTATGGCAACATGAACTTATGTACATACGTACGAAGTTCTACGTTGCAACTGACTGATTCAGTACATAATAATTATTTTTTAAATTCAATTCAATTATATAAATTTACCCTGTATTGTCTAGGGCAATTTTACATTGGTTTTCAGTAGAACCATAGAGACTGGACACGTTTTACCATTACTACATGAACAGTTCGGCTCAATCCTGTGGTGCAACCACCAAACAGGTACCTGATACCCTGGTGGACCATTCACACCGTTTCGTATACACACAATGATATATATATTTCCGATCAATGATCGCGTCAATCAATCAACAGGCCATTTCGACCCATCCCGCTTACATGACTGTCAAACTCATTATTATTAGCAATCGTGATATGTAATACAGCACCTCGATGACAATGGCCCTCGAGAATGTCGCAAAACAACCACCTATATCAATGAAATCGATCACCCTGCTAACCAATTTTATATATGGACTGTTAACAATGCTTACCAAAGCAAAGCCAAGCCATCCACAATATACACTGCGAACCTCTAGTCTCATAGGAGACCTTCAGCTCTATATAGCAGTATAGCATGTAGTGTACATATATATGGCGCAGGATAGTAGAAGAGGCAGCCCAGCTTGATGCAAATAGGCCAAAACACTTCTACTACCCTTTGTCTCATGTCGGGCAATGATTTTTTCGCTTTTCCGAAATTTTCATTTTTCGACCATATGAGGAGACCTGTGTTAGGGGTAGTATCCCTTCAGTACATAATAACCCGAAAACAAACAAAAGTTTCATTATTTTTCTTTCTAAACTAATTAATAATAAACAGCTGTTGTCTGATAGAAATACAACCACCAATTATAATGAATAAATCATTCTGTTATCAAACTAAATTGTTACTTCTTATTAGGTTCAAAAAAAAGTATTTCTTTGTTGTATTTTGACAATATTGAAAATAATTCATAACATATGACTGACTAATTTAAAACAAACCAGTTTGATAATTTGTTATTTGAAAAATGAATTACTTGAAACATTTAAAATATTCAGATAAATAACAGTTAATATATAATAAATATGCATATTTTGTAGTTGTTACGCTTGCACATCAAGTATCATCAGATTTGAAAGAAGGATATCTGATCAAAATACCAAAAAGGAAGGCGATCTCAGCAAATGTGAGAACTACAGAGGCATCACTCTTCTTTCAATACCAGGCAACGTTTTCAACAGAGTAGTGTTAAACAGAATGAACGACTTTGTAGACGTCCAACTACGAGATCAACAGGCTGGATTTCGTAAGGATTGATCGTGTACTGACCAAATTGCTACATTACGGATCATTATGGAACAATCAATTGAATGGAACTCACTACTCTACATCAACTTCATCGACTACGAGAAAGCATTTGATAGCGTGAATAGGAAAACACTGTGGAGGCTTCTTCGACACTACGGGGTGCCTGAGAAAATAGTTGACATCATACGGAATTCTTATGATGGATTAAACTGCGAAATCGTACACGATGGACAGCTAACAGACTCTTTTGAGGTGAAGACCGGTGTCATGCAAGGTTGCTTACTCTCACCCTTTCTCTTTCTTCTGGTCATCGACTGGATTATGAAGACGTTGACAGCTGGAGGGAAGCACGGTATCAACTGGACAGTTAGGACGCAGCTGGACTATGTGGACTTCGCAGATGACCTGGCTCTTCTATAGCACACGCAACAACAAATGCAAGAGAAGACGACCAGTGTAGCAGCAGCCTCTGCAACAGTAGGTCTCAACATACATAAAGGGAAAAGCAAGATTGTCCGATGCACCAACCAAATCACTCTTGATGGAGATGGCTTGGAGGACGTTAACAACTTTACATATCTGGGTAGCATCATCGACGAGAAAGGTGGATGTGATGCAGATGTGAGAGCGCGGATTGGCAAAGTGAGGGCTGCATTTCTACAGTTGAAAAATATCTGGAACTCCAAACAACTTTCAACCAAAACCAAAATCACGATTTTCGATACAAATGTCAAGACAGTTCTACTGTATGGAGCGGAAACATGGAGGACTACGAAAGCCATCATCCAGAAGATAAAAGTATTTATTAACAGTTGTCTACACAAAATACTTTGGATCTGTTGACCAGATTCCAGTGGAGGAGGAAATCAGGAAGAAGTGGTGGAGTTGGTGGATAGGACACACACCACGAAAAGCACCTAATTGCGTCACGAGACAAGCCCTCACATGGAACCCTGAAGGCAAAAGGAAAAGAGGAAGGCCAAAGAACACACTACGCCGAGAAATAAAGATATGAGAGGAATGAACAAACATTGGACAGAACTGGAGAGGGAAGCTGAGGACAGAGTTGGTTAGAGAAAACTGGTGGGCGCCTATGCTCCATTGGGGGTAACAGGCGTAAGTAAGTGCGCCTGCACATAAACACGTTAACTTGATATACTTGAACTATTACGAGTTTACCTTAGTCGGAAAACGAGAGCGAGGATCGAGGATCCGGTGACACGACATGGCACTCAAATCCGATTATCCCAACCCCAATACGGAATAAAAATAAGAAGTAGAACGTGTATTCTACAAGCATCCAGAAAGTATGAGGTCCGAATCCAGAAGAGAATCAGGATCTCGGACTAGGGATCCGAGAACGGGTCCTGGTCACAGAACGTTACAGATAATGCGTATTTATACATTTTGGTCGAATAGGAAACAGCATCAAAATCTGTGACATTGACAGTTTAGGACGAACAATAAGAAAAGAACATTTGAAATGACATTGACAGTCCGGATGACTAATAAGAGACAACATTGAAGTATTCGACTTTGACAGTTAAAACGACCATAATTTTACCAATAGAAATCGACCAATAGGAATTGACTAATAATTCTCTTAGGATATTCGATGAATATCCTAGCAGTAGTTGAACGCCGTCTGTGTGCCTTTTTGGGTTACTGCCGGTTCTAAGGAGTTTAGCGACCCCATCCAATGGAAATTCACCTCGGTAAATAAAATACGCTAACCAGAAAAAAAATTAATTCGTCCACCTACCGCCTATGCTCTATTATGGGTTCAACAGGCGTAAGTAAACAGACATGACACAATGAAAAGTGTACTAGCAAAGTAAAGCCAAGTGGAGAGAAGGTGAGTGAGCCAAGTCGATGTGATTACGCATGACTTGGTATTTATAATCAGGCAATAACAGGCTAGATATGTTGTGATAAGCGATGTAAGCAATATACATATGTAGCCAAGTACAAGCAACCAAGATATAACTTAATAATTGACAGGGTTAAAAGACATACGATTGATTAAATTATCCAAAGGCTGAGACTCTATCTCAGTGGTATGAAAGGTAAGTAAGTATTCGAATGAAAAGTTGAAGCTACTGAATTTGATTTTGACATGTGACATGTGCAAATAACCACTAGTGTGGAGATTCTTTGATTGCTTCGCTTACTTGCTTACGCCGGTTACCCCTAATGAAATATAAGCTGTCAATCAGTATTCTCCACAACCTGCTTTGTCTTTGGCCTACCTATCCAGTTCTACTCAATTTCTGTTCATTCTTTTCATGAACGGGCTCCCATACTCGGCACAATGTTCTCTATGCTCCAACTCTTTTTTTCTTTGGCCTTAAGGATTCCAAATCAACACTTGTTTTGTGCATTCCGATAAGATGATTTCCTCAATGCGCATCCTATCCGCCCCTCCCCCCCAATAGCCTTTCCTCAATTCTTCCACAACTGGAATATGATTTGTTCTCTCTCAAAGAATGTTTTTGTTGATGGTGTTTGACAAACCGATCTGAAATATACTATTGAAGAAACTGTTTATAAATCTTTCAGTGTTTTATATGATGGCTTTGGTATTTGTGCAAGTTTTCGCTTTGTAAAAAAACAGAACTGTGTTAACATTTACATTTAAAACTGTGACTTTGATGTTTGCTGACAGATAATCGCTTTGAGATCCAGAAGTTCATCATTTGTACAGACTCCGCTTGTGAATTATCGATCCCCACTAGTGCCTGCCATGGATAACTGTTTCACACCCGACTCGGATGACAACCACTAATGACAGCTTTTTCACTTATGATTGATATTTAGATTTGCTAGTATTATGCTCGTCACCAGTTGATATGCTTGAAACTATTACAAGTTCATCTTAGTCGGTAAACGAGAGCGAAGACAAATGATCCAGCGACAAGATAGGCTACTTTAATCCGAGAGTGCCATGGCTCCACTAAGTAGGTGAAGAAGTCTTGACAAGACGTAGAAAGTGTATTCTACAAGTACCCAGAAAATATGAGGTTGACAAGCACACAAATCGAGTTTATTTGGGGCAGCCACAAAAATAACGTACTAAAATCATACATCAACCAATAACAGTCAAGCATTTTCCAGGTAGGAAAGTGTAATCTCAAGGTCAACTGATCAGCCCTTGCACGAAAACATAAAATCGAAAACTAGGGCATTTATCAAATGAGTTCCGGGGATCTAACGTCTCAAACAGATCAGATTTTATGGGGTGTAGGATCCCTAACAAGGCATATATTCAAAGAAAGCGTTAGACTTACCAATATTTTGTTGAATCAATAGGAATTAAATAACGTGTAGGCAATGTTTTATTATTATTATTATTATTATTATTATTATTTATACAATTCATTTTAGTTTCCCATCCAGTAGTACGATTTATTGTAGTATTACACACTACCGATGATGATGATGATGATGTTGATGAGACAATTGGTTGAACAGTTTTAAATCCATTTGTAATGATTCTAGAAGGATTAATTGTAGATCTGGTTTGATTTGATTGGTAGAAGAATACAGGCTGGATTTTTTTTTATTTAGAAAAAAAAAGAGAATTGAAACAAGTATGATAGGAAAGTATGTTCACATGGATTAATCATTACATCAAATCAAATCAAATTATTTAACATTGAAATCATGGAACAATCAAGTGTTAGACCACACCATTATGTTACGCCTACACGTAAAGATGTCATTTTGAACTGTTATTACGAGTTTACCTTGATCGGATACGAGAGCGAGGATCGAGGATCCGGTGAGACGACATGCTACTCTACTCCGATTATCTCAACCCTCATACTGATTAAAAATAAGAAGATTTGAATGTGAAGTAGAACCTGTATTCTACAAGCATCCAGAAAGTACGAGGTCCGAGTCCAGAAGAGAATCAGGATCCCGGACTAGGGATCCGGGAACGAGTCCTCGTCATAAAATGTTACAGATAATGCGTATTTATACATTTTGGTCAAATAGGAAACAACATCGAATTCTGTGACATTGACAGTTAAGACGACCAATAGGAAGCAACATTTGAAGTGACATTGATAGTCAGGACAAACAATAAGAAACAACATTGGAGCATGTGACATTGATATCTAAGACGACCATAAAATTGACCAGCAGGAATTGACCAATAATTCTCACAGGATATTGGATGAATATCCTAACACGTTAGAAACCTGCAAGCACTGAACAGCCGTTTCGTTCTGGTATGTGACTGTTTAACAGTGCACATTCACGACAATCACAAGTGAGAATGCTACCAAGACCATTTGGTCCATTGAGCGAACGCTTAACCTTTAGATCACTGAACCAGTGTTCAACAGTGTTTGTGTCAACATTATGATCATTCTAAGGATTTTATGCAACTTCTCAAAATGTCTTCAGTAGTCACCATCTATACCAAACAGGGCTGAACTCAACTAATTACGTCTTCTCAAGGGAACGTCGAAAATTTGCTCACGAAGCTAGTCACTTGTGGGCACAGACAAATACAACGCAGAACTTCGTACGTAAGTACATCAGTTCATGTCGCCATACCACATCAGCACAGAGATGTAATTGTCAATTCAAATCCAATAGTACAAGAGGTAGTAAAGGTACTAGAAGTAATCGGAGAGGTTAGGATTAGAAGATATTATTCAAGAAGTATGATTCAGTGAGAAAAGTTTAGAAAGTCAAAACTAGAGGTGTTGAAGAATCCAGAAGATTTGGATTTGAGAGAGCACAAAGAATAAGTGCACCGGCGCCATTGCGAACGATTTTGAGCCATGTCATTCAAGGTCTCTAACCATCGATTATTATCATCTCGCGGACCTCAACCAGGTAGTCGACAACTACCGACATGGCACAGTTCACTCGTCAATGACTTCATGGATTTCTGCCATGTTTTGGTCTGGCCACCCCTAACTTTCTTCCAGCCTACTCCTACACCACAAAACATCACTCGTCGAGGCAGTCGCTGGTTAGCCATACGTAACACATGTCCCAACCACCTCAACTAATAAAGTTTCACTACTTCATCTATTGATTTGCCATCCATACCTAGAACTCGTTTCCTAACGACAGCGTTACATATACGGTTGTCCCAGGATACATATGAGTACATTATATAATTTTTCATTATAGAGTTATGAAGATTATTAAGTTTCGCCAAAATTATAATTCAATAATCATTAGACTACCATTAAAAACCTAGAAACAATGTACGGCCGTTTCGACCAGGTGTAAGACTTATCACCAGCGTGCATCTACAACCCTCGCTACTCACAGGAATCGAACCCAGGACCTTCATTGTTGAGTGCAAATGCTTAACTTCTACACCACTGAGATGGCCGGTATCCTACGATGCTAATGTTTAACTATGATCAATCTATGGTTTTTTGCACAACCATACTAACATAAAACGGACATTCAATGCTTCCAGTTTTCTAATAGCCGTCTACCAATTTAATTAAAAAACAACCATCTTCATAACTCTCTCTCTATATATATATAATAAAATTATTTATGTCAAAATAATAATCAGTACAAGATTATTGTTAATGTATTATTTAAAGCTGTCAGTAATAAAAAAAACAAAACTATGTAACTCAAATTTTGCATACATTTACTGAACTTGTAGTAAAAACACAAGCGTACTACTACTACTACTACTACTACTACCACTAATATTACTACACTACTACTCACACTACTACTGTAGTGAACGAGAACACAAGTGGGGCAACCGAATTGTATTTAACGAAAAATTACAGAGTTACTCAGTAAAATTGGAAAACCATATTGTAAATCGTTTATTTGCAAAATAACAATTCATCATATCGAACTGGACTGTTCCTGTTGCAAAACATCAATCCATTGTCACTCACTATTCATGAGTTTCATACAAATTCCATTGTGTTCTAACTCTTCCTTTCTTGATCTTCCCCCCATCTTCTGCTGCCAGACATTATGTTGACACTCACGTCATATACTACTTATAAGTAGCTCTCACCACACTACCACTACTACTGCTACTACTACTACTACTACCACTAATATTACTACACTACTACTATTACTACTACTACTACTAATAATAATAATACTAGTGAAAACATTCGAATAATGCAAGCTATAAAAACATTCAGACAACAAGTATTTGTATGTTCACTGTACAAATGAAACTATCTTTTAATTACAACAACAATTGATTGGTTTAGTGTGAAGTTGATTTAAGCCTCATTTAGACTTTTTTTTAAAGCAGGCATAGCTATTGCTTCTTTCATTTAAGGTAATTTCAAGTTTAACAGTTTTCTACTGATAATTGTTAACATCTAAACTATTTCTTGAGGGAAAATCAGTCAGTCAGTCTGTCAGTCAGCTGCTACGTAGAACTTCGTACTTATTATGTACATCAGTTCAAGTTGTCATAACATATTAGCATGCAAAGATGCCACTGTCAAGTCAAATCCCATTATGCTAGAGATGATTAAAGTATAATCGAGCGAAATAAATTTGAAAAGAGAAAAATTAAAGAGATGATAAATTCAGAAGACTAGAATTTGAGAGAAGATAAAGAAAAAAAATACACTTGAGCCATCGCAAACGATTTTGAGCTATTTCATTCAAGGTCTCGAGCTATCAATTACTATCATCTCGTGGACCTCAACCAAGTAGTGTCTACATTTACTAACATGACTCAGTTCAGTTTTCATTGACACTTCATGCTTTTGTGTCATATTTCGTTTTGGTTGCTCTTAGCTTTGTTGGAGTTCAAGTGAAAAGACGTGACCAGTATAGTTCAACCCTGTCATACCGAGGCGCAAAATCTAAGATTGATTAAAAGTTAGACATGAACACTGCCGGATGCTATCTCAGTGGTTCAGAGGTTAGGCATTCGCGTGAAAAACTGAAGGTCCTAGGTTTGAATCGAATGATTAGCAGGAGTCATGGATACACACTGCTGAGGAGTCCCATATACCAGGAGGAAACAGTCTTCCAGTGCTTCCTGGTACTGGATAAAACCGATCATTTCTCACGAATGAATCACAAATTTACTAAATTGTTTACACCTGTTAACCCTAATAAAGCTTAGACCACTGACCAGTGAATTATTGTTCTGGTTAGCGTATTTTTACTGAGTTGGAGATCTACGGGACAGGGTAGCTAATCTCATGCCAAACCCTCCTTCTTTATCTGAACTCAGGACTGGCAGTAACCCTACAAGGGCTCTAGATGCGGTTCTGAGTCATATCTAATATGTGGAACTATTGAGATGCTTGAAAATGAACGTGGAAATTGATGACTGAGCTACATCTGTTTGTGTTAGTATCATCACTAAACAGTTTAAACTTGTTTTGACAATTTTTTTCTGAAAGTCAGTTTAACAACTAATCTATCTAGTGCGAATATGTTCTTTCGATATTACTTTAAGGAGTTTTTGCGGAGGAAGTTACTTCAGTAACCTCTGGAATTAAAGCCTGTTGCTTGTGTGGATGTTACTGACTAAAGATACTGTTCGATTGTTATGTGATAATACCATGGAACGGTTGAAATTAAACATGTGAACCACAGAACGCCTGATGAGTTGTTTAACGGTTTTTAGTAGCTGGGGTTCGCCACTGTTGTAGTGGCCCGTTTCATCTGATTAAGTATTTATTATCAGATAAAATAAGCTTGACAATATGATAAGCGAAGTAGACATGCACAGATACACACACACACTTATGCAGAAACAACCAAGGATTTGAGTGAATGAATGACACGATCGAAACACGAGAGGAACAATAATGACTCGAGCAGAATTGGTAAATTTCATTTGTCTGAAAGCTAGGACAATTTATGTGGACTCAACATATTAATACACACACTACCTATTACACTCTCACAGATGGAGCAGTAGGTTCTAGGTTCAATTATAGCAAGGAGACTGTGGATCTGCACTTGTAAAATGTTTCGCATTCAACCAAAATAATTATTCCAATGTGTAGTTTGGTTCGTTATCTCAGTACAGTACTAACCGAAACTTTCTGACGATTCTGGAAATTGAAATATCAACCAGATCCACTCTTTGAACAGTAAAAACTATAGACACAAACAATAAATATGAACAATATTGTGTTGTGAACTTCATCTGAAGCCAGTCCGAAGACCAGATAAAGGAGGAGTGTTTGGCAGTCAGTCAACCAGTCAGATGCAACGTAGAACTTCGTACGTAAGTACATCAGTTCATGTCGCCATACCACATCAAAACAGAGATGTAATTGTCAATTCAAATCCAATAGTAGAAGAGGTAGTAAAGGTATTAGAACTAATCGGAGAGGTTAGGATTAGAAGATATTATTCAAGAAGTATGACTCAGTGAGATAAGTTTACAAAGTTGAAGAATCCAGAAGATTAGGATTTGAGAGAACACAAAGAATAAATACACCGGCGCCACTGCGAACGATTTAGAGCCATATAATTCAAGGTCTCTAACCATCGATTATTATCATCTCGCGGACCCCAACCAGGTAGTCGACAGTTACCGACATGGCTAAGTCCATTCGTCAATGATTTCATGGATTTCTGCCATGTTTTGGTTTGGCCGCCACTAACGTTCTTCCAACCTACTCCTACACTATAAAACAAAGCTCGACGAGGCAGTCGGTGGTTGGGCAAACGCAACACATGTCCGAACCACCTCAATCGATGAAGTTTCATTACTTCGTCTATTGATCTGCCATTCTTACCTAGCACCCGATTCCTAATAACAGCGTTGCTCACTCGGGTGTACCACGATATACGAGCAATGCTTCAAAGACACCTATGATCGAAAACCAATAATTGACGAATATCTTCTACTCTCATTGGCCATGTTTCACAGCCATAAAGTAAGACGGAGCGAACCACTGCACAGTACACTCGTCCTTTAGTCAGCAAACAGATATCTCGCTGCGCAATAAGTGACGCAGGTTGGCAAAAGCTAGTCGAGCCTTCTGTATCCGTGCTGAGATTTCGTCAGTCACCAGGCCATCAGCACTGATGAGACTCCCAAGATAAGCGAAGCGGTCTACACGTTCGACTACTTCACTTCCTATCACTAGTTCAGGTGCCGATGGAACCCAATCTTGAAGCAACATTTTGCATTTCGAGGGGGGCTGAAAACCGCATCCCGAACATGCTAGCATTGTTGCTTAAGGTGGTCAGAAGACTCTGCATTTTGTCAGCGTCTTCACCAAATAGGACTATGTCATCGGCATATTCTAAGTCAATAAGCGAGCCAACAGGTAAAATGTCTACTCCTGAAAATTCAGATGAGGATAAGGTTATTTCTAAGAGTGTTTGGTATGATGAGATTAGCTAGAAATGCAACGTCATTAAAGAGTAACAGTAATTTTGGAGAAAAAAAAAAAGAGTAAAACACTTTAAAAATATTAACTTAAACAAAAAAAAACATACTTCATTACTTTTATTTACATGATTGATAAAAGAATGATTTCTGTGTACCAACTGACTATGAGGATTTGACATGATATGAGATGATTGTAATCTACTGGGTATTATTGTATTTAATGAATGTTCATTTTTCATTGATAATCCAATATGAGCTTGATTATTGAACAATAAGAGATTAACATTATTATTATTATTATGATTGACACGATTGGTAGGATTTGATTGGTTATTAGTTTGATGATTTGCTGACTGATTCGAATTCCTGTCATCATTACACATGACTACAAAGTTTACACCATGAGCAGTTGCATGAGGTTGATGATGAATTGATTTTGTAGGAAGAAATTGTAATGATTGATGTGGATGTTTTAAATCTGAAATTCTATGAACATGATTATTATTATTATTATTACTTGAATGATTTGATGATATTTTATCCTGAATTAAGGAAAAGAAAAAAACATTTAATACGAAAGGAGAGGAGTGAAACTTTTTGAAAAATGATTGAATACTAAGTACATCCTTAAAATCAATAGTCAGTCAGTCAGTTACAACGTAGAACTTAGTACATGAGTACATCAGTTCAGGTTGTCATACCACATCAGCACAGAGACGCAACTGTCAGTTCAAATCCAAGAGTGATAGCGGAAGTAAAGGTATTAGAAATAGTCGAAGAGGTTAGGATTAGAAGATATTATTCAAGAAGTTTGATTCAGTGAGAAAAGTTTAGAAGGTCAAAACTACGGGTGTTGAAGAATTTAGAAGATTAGGATTTGAGAGAACACAAAGAATAAATGCACCGGCGCCATTGCAAACGATTTTGAGCCATGTCATTCAAGGTCTCTAACCATCGATTATTATCATCTCGTGGACCCCAACCAGGTAGTCGACACCTACCAACATGACTCAGTCCACTTGTCAATGACTTCATGGATTGCTGTCATGTTTTGATTTGGCCGCCGCTAGCTTTCTTCCAATCTACTCTCACACTGTAAAACATAGCTCGTCAAGGCAGTCGGTGGTTAGCCATACGTAACACATGTCCCAACCACCTCAACTGATGAAGTTTCATCACCTCATCTCATGATCTGCAGTAATGGAGAAGATTAGGATTTGAAGATATTATTCAAGAAGTATAATTCAGTGAGGTAAGCTTAGAAAGACAAAGGTAGAAGTGTTGAAGAATCCAGAAGATTAGGATTTGAGAGGATACAATGAATGAATGCACCTCGGCCGCTGTAAACGATTCTGAGCCATGTCATTCAAGGTCTCTAACCATTGGTGACTTTCGTCTCGTGGACACTAACCAGATAGTCGACATCTACCAACATGACTCAGTCCACTTGTCAGTGACTTCATGGATTTGTGCCATGTTTTGGTTTAGCCGCCCCTATTATTCTTTCAACCTAGAATCCATATTACAAGATACAGTGTAAAATGTGGTGGTGTTTCGTTCTCTGAGCTGGTTGTTTTGGTTGTGTAAATGTTTGCAAATTTATATAAATTGATAGCTCAATGACAATCTGTAACATTTGATTTTGTCCTCAATTTCGAATTCACATTTTATCTGTGACGTTTACAGATTATCCTACAGACTCAGTGACTTGTTATTAAAACTGTACAACTAAAATCGATTAGCAGGAAGCCCTTAACCTAGACCCTTAAGAAAACCTATCCATTCTTGAAGACCTAAAACAGCGTCGATTTTTGATTGCATCAAAACAAAGATGCAAACAACGACAGGTTTAAGGTGAACAGCAACCAATCAAGATCGAGGTTAGCAGAACAAGCTACAGGTCAAACAAACATGGAGAAATTCGAATACTCTTCACTTCTATCTGAAGTTTGTGCTGATGATGTTGTTCAGTAGAAGAACAATGAAAGTTCCACAACCAAAACACCCAGCTCAGAGAACCAAACACCACCACAACCACAATCATCCACCTGAGCTACAAATCTTCTCCACCATCTCAAAGAAATTACAACTAAAATTCATGAATGAATTCAATGAATAAAGTATCAAGTTTCAGAGTTTAATTTTTTTTACACTCACAGACGTTTAACATTAAATGTTCAATTTTTTTCAATATGAGTTATAAAGATTAGTGTTTTTACACAATGAAATCACCAATCACCATCCTTGACCGTAGCTGCTACCTTGATGTGGTGGCCGGGCTTGCCTATCGTGATGACCCAACCGAGCTATACTGGCTGGAACATATGTTTCTGCAGGTCCTACCATGCCAGGCAGGTCGATTGGAGAACGATAAGACTAAAAGCAGCTACTCAAGGTCTGAGGGCGAAGTCGTACTGCTGACTGAAGAGGGGTGTGACAGCAGTAAGGTGTTTTCCTCGGACAACCAGCATCTGCAGCGATGCTGCATTCTCACAAGGAAGGAAGGGTTAGAAAAGGTCGGCCCTAAAAATGTCACACCTCATCCTACCTCACGAAGGTAAGGGTGCCCACTAAGGGCCTTTAAGAACGGAGCTAATCCTCAAAAAACATTTCATAAAAAGGCCGTGCGTGACCGGCCTTAAGCAGTTGTCCCTTGGGCTCTGCGGTCACGCTCCCAGGTCTCTAAGACCAACACTAATCTATCTTCCTTTACAGTTCTCTCAAGAAACAACCTTCCACGGTGTGGGCAGCCGGGAAGTGACAACCGCCCTCATACCCGAAACAGCACGAGAGACCAATCTGGTCGAAATCAAATAACCATCACCATTAGAAATATGGAAGTATTGGAAGGCTGTTTTGTCCTGGTATGGGACTACTCATCAGTGACAGTGCACATTCAAGACTCCTAGGATTCATCACATACCAGGACAGAACGGCCGTCCAGTGCTTTCAGGTTTCTAATGGTGGTCTAACAATGATTGATTGATGATTTCAAATGTGTAAAATGTTCAATTGTTTGTAACAAAAAATACTCGTTTATGAAATAAAAAGTACAGTACAGTAAAGCAGACATTAGTTAGTAAATGACTATTTGTATTTTTTTTTAAAACTATTCGGTGGGTCAGAAGACTTTGACATTAAATAAAATCCCTAATTACTGACCGTCAAACTTAAAAATCATCACTCAATACTTTGATACACCTAAAAAATATGGCTGGATGTTAGAATTTCAGGTAGGTAGTAGTCATTTTGATGAAGTATATACTTGAAATGTGAAAAAAATAATTTTGAATTGATTTATTGATCGACTGTGTAGGTCATTCACTCTGAATAATATTCATTTCATTTGCCACTGATTCAAAGAAAACGAAGTGAAACATTAGAAAATTTGAAGCTCTAGAAGTGATTCAACTATTCGACGGTCTACTAACAAGTTTTAAACAAAACCATGTATTCACTGACACTGATAACTTTACTATTTCAACTTCATCAAAACAATTCGTTGAATGGTTACTCTGCAAGCCCAACTACCGACCGCCTAGACGAACGATGTTTTGTGATGTAAGGGGTAGGTTAGAAGAAAGCTAAGGGCGGCCAAACCAAAGCATGGCACAAATCCATGAAGTCACTGACAAGTGGACTGAGTCATGTTGGTAAATATAGACTACCTGGTTGGGGTCCACGAGATGATAGTAGTTGATGGTTAGAGAGCTTGGATGACATGGCTCAGAATCGTTTGCAATGGTACAGGTGCATCTATTCGTTGCGTTCTCTCAAATTATAATCTTCTGAATTGCTCATGACATTTTTTTTCTCCTTAGTAAACTGATTGTGGTAATGTGTAACTTTGGTCAATCTAATATTTTGTGCAACCTCATCTCATTCAATGTCTTTGGTGAACACTGTTTCACACCCTAACAAGGTTGAACTTCACTGGTCACTATTTATAACTAGAATTTGAAGAAACTGTTTAACGTAGCTAGTCATTAGTGAGCATGATAATTTGCATTATAGGGTTTTGAAGATTGTTGCATTACTTTTTGAAATCATAAAAACGATCATAGCTCCGTAAGAAAGATTCCCTGTATTCTGATGACAATTCATGACCACTGGAATTCAACACCGTTCAGGCATAAAGCAGCGCTTATCATAGAGATTGGATAATGTTTTGCAGGACCGTGGGTTGATCGAAGCTAGACATTAACACTGTTGGTTCCTGGATAGTTCATTGGTGTAGAGGTTCTGTGTTCGATCGTCACTTCCACTGATAAGTCCCATACCAGAACGAAATGGCCGTTCATTGCTTCCAGCTTTCTAATGATGGTCTCTAACATTGATCGATTCATAATTTCAATACAATAACTCAATAATCTCGACAATCCTATAATGTAAATCAATTCAATGTCAGTCAGTCAGTCAGTCAGATGCAACGTAGTAATTCGTACGTAAGTACATCAGTTCATGTCGCCATACAACATCAGCACAGAGAAGTAATCGTCAATTCAAATCCAATAGTAGAAGAGGTAGTACGGGTATTAGAAGTAATTGGAGAGGTTAGGATTAGAAGATATTATTCAAGAAGTATGATTGAGTGGGAAGAGTTTACAAAGTTGAAGAATCCAGAAGATTAGGATTTGAGAGAACACAAAGAATAAATGCACCTGCGCCATTGTGAACGATTTTGAGCCATGTCATTATTCAAGGTCTCTAACCATCGATTATTATCATCTCGCGGACCCCAACCAGGTAGTCGACAATTGCCGACATGGCTAGGTCCACTCGTCAATGACTTCATGGATTTCTGCCATGTTTTGGTTTGACCGCCAATTCAATGTCAAATGATTTCTTGTTCAAATAATATTTTGTACAGTTTCAATTTTTTTTATGACAATTTATCGATGAATTGAATGTCAATAATTATTGGATAGATTATTGCTGTTATTTGCCTTAATTTTTTTGAAACCATGAATCGATCAATGTTGGACAACCATTAGAAACCTGGAAGCACTGGAAGACGGCCGTTTCGTCCTGGTATGGGACTCCTCAGTAGTGCGCATCCACGACTCCTGCACCCTGCAAGATTCGAACCCAGGATCTTCGGTATTGTACGCGAACGCCTAACCATCAGACCACTGAGCCGGTGCAGGAGTCGTGGATGCGCACTGCTGAGGAGTCCCATACCAGGACGAAACGGCCGTATTACAGTGCTTCCAGGTTTCTAATGGTTGTCCAACATTGATCGATTCATGGTTTCAAAAATGTGTAACCGAATACTGTTCACAACCCCGTAATGCAAATTTTCCTTAACATATCTAACCAATCCTTATTATGATGTTTTTCCACTAACAAACTAAGATATTAGTTAGATTAGTTTATGTTATTATTGGAAATTTTGTTTCCGAAAAATATGGCTTATATGTCAATTCAACTACATCAAATTGATTGACAAAATCAATGCTGTGTGTTTGTTTTTTCTTCATTTAGAATTGGAAATTATTTTTTTAACAGGTTGTTTCGTTTTTTAGAAAGACAATCATAGAAA